GTCACGTTTTTTGTTTACCTTTTTTGTTCAAAATATTATTTGTCAATTTTAACATTTTTTTATTAATGTGATTTTTGTTCACAATTTCGTATTTGAACACATTGAATATTGTTATGCATTTTTAAGTCATAAACTTCAAAATGTAGCAATACAGTGTTCATTGAAAAAATTATTTCATAAATTAAATTTAAAAATTTAGCAATACAGTGTGCAATCAAGTGTTTTTGAAAGAAAATACCTAAGGTGTGTACATCCACAATCATAATATCAAATAAATGTGATTTATCTAAAACCGAAACAAAAAAAAATCAACCACAATCACAAATACAAACTAGGGTTCAAGAATTATACGATCTGGGTATTTTTTACAAAACTTAAAAATGGAGCAATACAGTGTGGCTTCATTAATATATATTAACACATATATGCGTGACCAAATTAAATTTAATGCAAAATTAATTTTTTTTAATTTTAGTACTTTTTAAGATAAGATAACTAAAATTCCTTAATTTTAGTTGTTAAATTTCAAAAGATTTTCAAAAAATTTGAAACATATCCCTAATAAAAAGGAAAATAAGGGGATGGGAAAGAGAGAGACCAATGGTTATGAAGAGAATTTATTATGGATTTTGGTTTTTCAAAACCAAGGTATTCAAATCTTTCTAAATCACTAGAGAATTTTTTTACAAAACATTTTCAACTATGAATTTATTCACTAATAAGTTTAATTATGTGTACTGACTTCTGAAATACCCTTTTTGTAAACACAATAGCTCATATGTTTTTTTCGAGAACTTGAGCATCACATTGTTCCACAATCAATCTTAAGTTAATCTAATTTGAGGGTGGTCAAATCCCAAACTCTTCAAATTGCTTAGAAGGGTTCAAAAAACATTGTTAGGTCTCAAATTTTGTGAACTATTAGATCTAGATCAAGATCTCCATTAAATATATCAACCCAAATAACCGACTTTCAAGGCTCATTGAAGCCTTATTTTATGTGCCCAAAATGAATGAATTGTGATATATAGCACCAAAATTGATCTATTCTTGACACAAAACCATAATGGACTTCAAGGAGTAAATATTTCGTATAACAGTTATATTTCGTCAATATTATCACGTGATATAACCGTTCAATGTTTTATAAATAAGTGAGCAAAGTGACCCTATTTTTTTAACATAGAGTAAAGACTATCTTTTATGGAGTGGTAGTTACTTGAATGAATAGAGTTTATTTTTTTTATTTGATAAATTTTCATTGGACGCTACCCCACATGACAATATTATGATATATAATCATTACACTCAATATTTATTCAACCTCAACAAAGAGAAGAACCTAAAATAACTGTTTTAAAAATAAATTAGGGAGAAAGTCTATGGTACCACCTTCGGTACCATATCCAAGATTATTACTTTTATGGTAAAGTTACAACTCAAAAAGAGAAGTTACAATTATTCAAATAAAATTTATGGCAATCAAGGATCCATAATCGATCACAGATACATATGATCGATCATAGACTTTTTTTGAACAATTATAATTTCGCCCCTTTGAATTATAACTTACACTTCAAAAAAATTATAACTTAATTTGAAATTATTATAACTTTTGATACAATTCTACGGTGCCGTAACCTTTCCCTAAATTAGGATAGTACTAAACTTTCCTCAAATCATTCCCTAAAATAGCCGTTTTAATTTAAACCTACCGAGAAAGTAATTATAGGACATGATTACTCCTCTGAGGTAGTCCTTTATTAGTCCTTACACAAATCCATATCCTGAACCGTTAGATCTCATCTCTCAGTTAAAGTAAATATAGTTCGTTAAACAAATGATTTTTAAGTTCACTTACCTAGAAGTGACCGCATCAGATTATCCACTCCCCAATAACTTTCTCTCCGCTCTTTCGTCTGGGCCCCACCTCATCCCCTTCAAGTAAAATCCCTCTACGCGCATTCTTCTTCACGCACAACATTCCACTAATATTTGTTTTACCCCTATACTTTAAGGTCATCAACTTTGCACTCCCTTCAAAAAAAAAATTATTATGACGATAACATTTTTCTTGGCAAAATTGTATTGAAATCATAAATTTGTATATCTACAATTATCTGTAATCTTAAGTATTAGAAAAGCCCGACAAAATATTAGCAACTTAAGATATTCAAATTTATGTTTCGTCCCGAATACAACTCCATTCTTCTAGACTACTTTCTATTTTTTGTTGATCTAGTAACCTATCGCAATGTATTGTATCCAATTCTTAAATTATGATTTGAAATCGTTAAAAGTAAATTCTACTTGATAACTCTGAATCTATATATTGTGTCAAAATGATCGTATTGTGTCAAATCTATATCAAATATACCGTGTCAAAACTTATTCTTGTTATCATAATAATGTCAAAATTGACCCTATGTATATACACATGTGTGTGTGTATTTCAAGGTTATTAAATGAATCTTAAAAATTAATTGAATTAGATATCCCGTGTTAGTAACATTCTTTAGATTAGAGGAGAATAATCAATCCACCTCGCCTATCGATTATCTAAGAGGGCCTTAACCCTCGAGCCTTCTCAAAGGTTATGTGAAACTCTATAGAGAGTATATACCTTCCTAAAAAAATTGGAGAGACAATAATGAATGATCGGGTCATATTTGGGGATCTGTATCACAATATATAAAAATCAATTTACCCCTTAAATATAGAGATACATAATGAATTGTCTTAACTAACAAAATATTTAAAAACTAATTAATTAAGATTAATTATACAAAAATCTAACCAATCAAATAGGCACAACCTCACTTATTCATCTCTCTCTGTGTATGACAACTTTCACGTCACGTCCGGTACCTCTTTATATAGGTGCTCTCTACATACTGTTCAACCACCCCCCATCACCCTTTTATCACCACCACTCGCCTTTCTATTATACCTTGGATCTTTTACATCCTAACCCCACATACAAATTCACATACGCACACACAAAATTACTCATTCCCCACAACCATTGTATCACACACATACTCACTCGCAATAGTCAGATATACAAGCTCAATCACAAACAAAACATAGCAACACCACACATTAGCACAGTCCCAACAACCTGCCTTCACTCAAACCAATTTTCTAGACCACCAACCACACCCACTAACGAATGAAAGTTCAAGTGGTGGCAATGTTATATTTCATACATCGGTGGGTCCTTATAATAAGTAATAAATCTGATGACTATATGTAATTTATCTAAATTATAGATGTTGAGCACATCATGACGCACTTGCTTACACAGCGCATGATGTTATACCTCCATGAATAGCCACACCCCCTCCTCTACGGGGCAGATCCTCTGCTATTGAGAGAAAACTGCATGACATGTGGTTAAGTGGAACGGTACCGTTTCACTTGTTTTTTGTAAATTTTTTTTTATTCAGCCTTACCAAAACGACATTGTTTTGGTTTTGTAAATTCCAAATCTGCAGTCTCCCTCTTTCCCCCGCTTCTTCAAACTGAAGATCCCCTTCTACACTCGGTTCCTCTTCGTCGATTGCAAGTCCTACCAAGTGAAGCCTCCTGAAGATTTAACCTTCAAACTGCCAAGAGGAACCATCAATCTTCGATTGTAGGTCCTGCCAAGTGAAGGGTTTCAACGTTTGTGCTACCACAACTGATCACTCTACAAAAAATTTAGGATTTCCAAGATTTGTGTTCCAACATTTGTGCTTCAAATGTCACTCTGAAAAATTCGGATTCGAAAATAGAGGCTCTCCACGAAACTACGTTCGCAAGGTATTTGCAGGAATATTACCAAATTTTTTGAATGAATGAACTCTAACATGTGAAATTTACCTAATTTACCAAATTTGTTGAATGAATGAACTCTACCCTGTGAAATTTACCTAATTTATCAAATTTGTTGAATGAATGAACTCTATTTGCAAGAAACACTACTCTACGAAATAATTGATGAATGAACACCACTTTGAAATTTTTATTCTTTTTGCACAGAAACAATGACATGCGTTAAACAATGTTTAAAGTCCAATCTCTGTGTACATAAAAGTTGATATGAAATGGCCATTGTGTTATTTGATTTTTCAATGCAATGGCCATTGTGTTATGATTTTTTGGTTATCTTTTGTGTGGTGGCGTTGAGCTTTGGTGCAGCTGAGAGGTGGTGGGGGAGCAAAGAGAGAAAAGTCATGTGTTTAGATAGGCTAATTCTGTAGTTGATTTTGTGGCCAGAATTGGATAGAGGTTTTTGTCATTGGCCAGAATTCTCTGATCAACACAGATGGAGGTTTTTTAGTTTCTGTCTGGGGTCTGGTTTAGACAGACAGTTTCCTGTTGTTTGTATGAGCTTGGAGCTGTGTTGTTGCTACTCTGATTTTTTGTGAATAATTTTTATGATGCTTTGATGGAGTGATTGGTGTTGATGAATGGGTGCAACTATGACAGAAGTTATTAGGTTTTAGTCCTTTTGAAGGATTAAAGCCAACTCTATGGATTTAGAATTTTAAATTCCTTTGTGCTAAGGCTGTTGTGCTGTGATGATACTGGCAAGTGGTTTGATGGTTGCTGTTGCAGTTTGTGTTGGTGCAATCTATGTTGTGTTGTAGAGTGACTGGTGCAGTCTATTGCAGATGGAGGATGATGATCAGTTAGGGTAGTTACTATTTTATTATGATGATCAGTTAGGGTAGTTACTATTTTATTATGTTGCAGGTGGAGGATGATGATCAATTAGGCTGGTGTAGTCTGTTGCTGGTGCAATCTGTACCATGGAGGAATGGAAATGGTGAATGGGCTGAATATTATTTTGATGAAGTTCATTATGTTGAATATCATTTTGATGAAGTTCATTATGTTGAATATCATGTTGATGAAGTTCATTATATGGCCTATACAAGTTACTATTTTATCTTCCTTTTTATATTTGTTGAAATACTGCAACTGATTTGCAATATTCTGTGTATGTTCAACAGCTTTCATCCATTACCTGGTACCTAGTTCAAGCAATTCTACCTGGTTCAAGAATGACATCTTCAAGCACGGCAACAAGCAATGAAGAGTTAAGATATCGCAACATGTATTGCCCCATTTGTAGCAAAAGAGCAATTATCAAAGTTTCTGAATTTGAAAAAAATTTTGAGAAGCTATACTGCAAATGTCCAGATGATTCCAATCACTTTTTTAAGTGGATGACTCTTATTACTCTCCCCTCTTTGGAAATTAGAAATGAAAGGATGGATGTATGACGAATTGAAAACAATGTACGACGAATTGAACACAATGTAATAACATTGAAGTCAAATATGTTTGTAGTCATGTTACTAGTGGTGATTCTAGTGAAGTAGATCTGTAAGAGTAATGATGTAGTGATGAAACTTGTGTTGTAAATAAACTTGTGCGTTTAATTTGAATGAAATTATGGGTTTTGTATATTGTTGTGACTTGAAAGATCATATTCATCAAAAAAAATTGCATTCATTAAAAAAATCACATTCATTGAAAAGATCACATTCATCAAAAAAAGATCACATTCATTAAAAATACAACAAGCATCCTTACTACTGCTAGTAGTCTCACTAAAAATAAATAGTTTTCAACAAAATGATCCAACAAAAATAAACAGTTCATTAAATGATCCAACAAGCAACTAGTAGTCTCCATCTGCATCTTATAATTGTTGTTCCTCTAAGCATCCTTACAAGTTGTATCCCCCATTTATGAAAAATGATTCAGCATCATTTAAAAAATGCACATGTGTTGAATTAGTTGGAGTACCCTACATAAATGAGAAGGAGTCAGACAAAGAAACTTGATACATAAGTCAAACAATAAAATTAACAATAAGGTAATATACCATAACACTTTGTACACTATTTGAAGCTTGAGAAGACATCAATGACCATATGCTGATGTACACGGGTGATTGAAACTTTGTACCTTGAATAAAAAAATACTTACAATTATGTTTATAAAAATATGAAGTGAATAAAAATATGAAGTGAATAAAAATATAAAGTGGATAAAAATATGAAGTGAATTAAAAAAATCTACAATTATATTTATACGATACCGTAAACATATGTGATAGTTGGGAAACTCCTTTTTTCCTCTTTGTTCCTTTCTCATATCAAGATTTTAGTCGACCCCAACCCTTGTAACCATATTCTTTTCTTTTTAAACTTTTTACTTGGAGAAGTGTTGGGTCAACATTTTCTATTCCACTTGGGTCAATATTTTCATGGATTGAATCATCGTCACCATCACCAATTGATGCATACAAACTATCCACTTGTTTAAACAATTCCTCAACACCACATGACACTAATTGATATGCAGGTTGAAGACCAGAGGATAGAGCAGCTAGTTGTACCATTCTAGGACAAAGCTACCTGTAACGTGATGCCACCATTAACTTGGGATTCTCTTCATTTGACATTAAAATGGGGGTTGTCCTACAACTCTTATTTGCATCTTGTCTCCATCTCTTACATATGTATTGCTCGGGAATTTACTTAATATTCATCATGTCCAAGACTTTAAGTGCATGGCCACATAATATTTCCTTCATTTCAAACGTCCGACAACTACAATTGACTATCTCCTCATTAGCCTTAATCACGACCAAATACTCTCTATGTTCATCATATAATCGAACCACAAATTAGTGCCACCCATCCAACACATCACATGGTGTCGCAATAGCACACTGAAAGATATCATACTCCTCTTGGAATAGCTCAAACATAGTAGAAATGTACACTTGCCCAGCTTGCACTAACATTGAAGCTCTTTTTAACTTCAATCTGGGTAATTTTTGCCTAGCTTGGTACTCTAACTCTGACTTCTTATGCCGCTTATCATTCACAACTCTTTCAAAATGTACAAAGAACTGAACAATATCATGGTCTAGCTTTAAACACTTCCATAAGGCTGCATTCAAGCTCTCACTCAATTGGGTGTTTCTCATTCCTACAGTGAAAGTCTTATTCATATATACATGCCCTCATTTCTCTCGCAATGCCCAACTAGCTTTCATCTACATATTATCATGCAAATTATACTCCGCAAGCAACGATTCCCAAGCCTCAAATAATACATGTTCTTCTTCATATCCATACACACGCTCTTTAAATCGAGCAGGAAAACGTGAACCATCCTTATATATGTTTCCCAAATGTTTCAAAGCATTTTGGCAAAGGTACCAAGTACATAACCCATGGTATGTCCCTGACATAACTATAGAAATAACCTTAGCCATCGCTTGATCTTGGTCGGTGAAAATGGTAATAGGATATTTCCCAGATATAGCTTGTAGGAATGTCTCAATCAACCACTGAATGATGCTGTCATTTCATCATACAATAATGTGACTCCAAATAAGACTGTCTCCCTGAAATGATTGAAGCCAGTAAAACAAGTAAAGGGTTGATACTCCTTGTTCGTTCTAAAAGTAGTGTCAAATGAGACAACATCTCCAAAGTTGTCATAATCAATAATCATCACTGAGTCAGCCCAAAAAATATTAGTAATATGCTCTTCCGCATCCAATTGCACTCCATAATAGAATGATGAATTTTTCACTACTTCCATTTGAGTATACTTCAACAAACTACCCGCCTTACCATACCTCAAGTCTTGTTGTCTCCTTTCACAGAGGTAATTCTTTTGGTCAAGACGAGTAAAACCAAGACTTTCCTTTCCTTCAAACTGAGTACTTAAAAGTTCATAGAAAGCCTTAAATGACAATCCAGAATCCACTGTCATATCAATATTAATGTCTTGTGATTCGGTAACTTTCTGTTGGGATGACATCATATGCATACATTCAGTAATGTGCAAAGGATGGTTGTGGTTGTCGTCCCACTTCACCACAACAAATTTACCAATTTCTCTATTAAGAGATATGCACATATAAACTTGGCAATCTGTTCTTGTCTCTGCTCAAAACTTCCTTATTTGGCCCTCTCTTTTATCACGACTCATATGACCTTGTTTACAACAAACATATTTTCTGTAAATGACAACGTCATCTTTCAAGCTTTTATTCTAAAAATATTTTCTCATGCTAAATTCCACAGGCCCTCTATAACTATTGTAAAACGCATAAGCATCTTCCTCCGCATCAAATTGTATATTAATATGAGGTATATTATCAGTTGCATTAACTCCCAAATCATCCATCTTTGTATCCTATGAGTAAAATTAAAATTAAAGTGAGACATTAATTATTCCAAGATAAATAACCGAAACCGTACATACCAATATAGAACAATAGACATAAAGAAAATAATATTTGGAACTCTTCTTTAGATTGGAAAAAGATTCTACTTGTTCCTCATTTTGATTTCCAGGATACAAATCAATAAAAGTTTTTCTTCTAACAAAACCAAAAAAAGAATTATCAAATCCACACTTGATATGTGAATGCAATTTGATAATTATTCTAAAAACCATGACATACTTAAACAACAGCTTGAGCCAAAAAGAATAGTATGCCGAACAAGGATCTGTTACAACAAATTTTCATATATCAACAATTATGTGTTATACAAGAATGCAATCGACACAATATCTTAAGAAGAAAAAGAAAAAGAAAAAAAATGATAACTTAGATTACTCCTGGAGTTCAATGATTCAGCTAAACAAACTCATTAGAAGCCCATGAAATTTTATGATGCATCGAGTAAATGTCATAATGGAGCCATGATTAAAATATGCATATCGTGTTCTGACCAAAAGGAGATCTAAGAGGCAGCTGATCAAATTTTCATTATGCCCAATTCGACTGAGTTGAGGAAGAAGAAGACGGGAGAAGCAGAGAGGAGGGGAAAGAGGGACACTGCAGAACTGGAATTTACAAAACCAAAACGACGTCGTTTTGATCAGGTTGAATAATAAAAAAATACAAAAAATAAGTGAAACGGTACCGTTTTACTTAACCACGTGACATGCGGTTATCTCCCAACAGCAGAGGATCTGCTCCCCCTCCTCTTCTCTCTCTCTGTTTTCAAAACAGTCACTAAGGTCCTCTGTTTCTCATATGCTCTCGCCGGTACTGCGTGCCGATTGCCGAATCCCCTCCCCCCCCCCCGGGGGGCCCCCAATTTCTCTTTCTCTCTCTCTCTCTCTCATACACACACTAAGTTGCAGTGACCGATATATATAGAGGGAGAATTGAGGAGTGATTTATATACAAGCAGATTGATATGTCAGAGTAAGAGAAGTTGTTGAAGGGAGTATCGGTTGATGCACAAAAACTGGAAGGTACGGAACGGCGCCAATATCGACCATGCCGCCGTTTGCGATTCCATCACCGATCCTAAGGACACTCACCTCCGTGATTTCGAAATGTTTTGATTAGGGATTTTCATTTCAATTTCTAGCCACTCGGGTCTGATATAGTTGTTTTTTTTTATCACTATTTCGGTGATGTATGTATACTGCATTATAATGTATGGTTGGAGAGTATATAGACAGTCCTCAGTTTTTAATTTTTTGAATTTTGAAATTTAGGTTCCAATTAGGGCACTTTTTAAAGAAGACTGTTGCGGATTCGAATGCTCCAGTGCAAGAGAAAGCTTTAGATGCTTTAATTGCGTACTTAAAAGCTGTCGATGCTGATGCTGGAAGGTAACTAAATTTTTGAAAATTTGCATAGTTTTTATGGTTATTTGTTATTCATGTTGTTGTACTGTTCATTTGTGATTCAATTTCGAATTTGGGGTTCATTTTTTGGGCAGGTATGCGAAAGAAGTATGTGATGCGACTGTGGCAAAATGCCTGACGGGTCGGCCCAAGGCAGTGGAGAAGGCGCAGGCAGTGTTTATGCTCTGGGTAGAGTTGGAGGCTGTTGAGGTATTCCTGGTATGTGTTAATTTTCATAATTTAGTGTGTTTTTCAACACTGCAATTTTTGGATCAAAAAAAAAAAACACTGCAATTCAGTATGAGAACAATTTGATTGTGTATTCCGTGAATGTAGTTTGTTTTACTTTCTGGTGTCTGAATTGTGCTAAAACATGTTGGGGAACTTAAGGGGTCGTTTGGTAACGTTTTCGTTTTCGTTTTCGTTTTCGACAATTTTTGTCTCTGTTTTGTAATAAACACTGAAACAAAAAACATGTTTGGGAGTCATTTTTGTCTATCAAATTATGAGAATAAAAACAAAAAATATGTTTGGTAACTACTTCACATTTTATCCTAAATATACTTTATAATATCTCATACAACAAACCTTCACCCTACTCGAAACTCCCCCAACAAATCAATCATCCACTACTAAAAACCCACCCCCCGCAACTCCTCCACCCCCAACAAAATACAAATCAAACATCCACTACTACAAAAAAATTGTAAACAAATCAATTATCAGTTGTAAGCCTTGTTGGATTGTCCATAGTTCCGCTTTATGGCTCCTTTCATATTGTCTATTCTCCATCTCCACCCACTAACAATCATCTCCATCTCTAACCATCTAACTCCACCATTTACACCTCCATGAGCCCCCTAATCCCTGATTTGTTAAAACCCTACAACATAATATCAATATATATGCAATAATTAAGATGAGATACTGCTCTGAATCAATCAAAATCAACTTCAACACCAACCAAATAAAACCAATTTTCTAGTTTATGGCCAAATACCAAACCACTCGATTACACTTACATCATCTGATGAAAAAGAAGCATTTCTACCTAGTTTGGACTGTTTAGCCAATCCATCCACCTTAACTGAATATATCCCATTATTATATAACCATGCCAACCAATATCCCAAAACTCAAGAAACCAGACATATTTCTTCAAACCCATTAACATCATCACACAAAGCAAATATTATTCAACATCATCAAGCTTTCGTTTCAGATCCCTGACTAAAAGAGATAACTTAAAGTTTTGTTCTAGATCACTATCGAAATCAATGGCCTCCAAAAAGCGTCAAAACAGACAAAATGAGGAGTGTATAAATGGATCTTAAACCTTCACCCTACCTGCAACTCCTCCACCCCAACAAAATACAAATCAAACATCCACTACTACAAACCCACCCCCTACAACTCCTCCACCCCACCCGAAACTCCCCCAATAAAATCAATACAAATTTATTTTGGTTGTTGTTCAAGAAATTTAACAATCAAATAATCACAAATGGTTTGAGAAATCAAAATCGCAAAAGGTAGCAAATTAACACAGATGATTTATTTTGTTGTTGATTATAGGAATGCATTTGGGTTTAATTTGGAGGGTTTGATTCTGGGTTTTCACAGATCACTCACACACACACACACACACACAGATTTTATGGGTTTTCACAGATCACTCACACACAAATTTTTTGGGTTTTAACAGAGAACGAGAGCAAGACAAAGAGAGATAGATCGTCTGAGGTAACTATCTGAATTATCGATCTGAGTTCTTTGTGGTTTGTTGTTTGAGTTCTTCATCTGAGTTCGACAGAGAGAGATCATCTAAGTTCTTCGTCGTTTGTGAGAGCGAGACAAAGAGAGAACGACGGATCGATCTTCGTCTGAGGTATCAATCTTCGTCATTTGTGAGTTCTTCGTCGTCTAAGGTATCGATATTCGTCTGAGAGAGAGAGAGAAGATAATAGAGTGAAGAAAAAAGAAAAAAAAAATCCTTCAAAGGGTATTTATAGTAAACACAAAAAAAACCCTCTTTTGGTTGCTAATGGGATTTGAATAGAAAACATGTTTCCTAGAACATCTTTTTTTTTGTTCCCATTTTTTGTCTTTGTCTCCAATACAACTAATACAAAACAAAAACAAAAACAGTTACCAAACATATTTTTGTTTTCATTTTTGACAAAAATTGAAAATAAAAACAAAAAACACAGGACAAAAACAGTTACCAAACATGCCCTTACACTTGCTTCTCCAGTTTTAATTTAGGTGTTTGGATGACATGACTGAGGAAGTTTGGTGCTCAGAATTTTCCTTGCTTTCTATAGTACCATGATAGTGATCATGTATGTGTGGTATTTTGGGCTTGCCATGGTAGTACATAATGTGATACTGCAAGTTCTCCTGTACTGACTACTGAAGGAGCTATCATGACCATTGTCCCTTTGGAATTGGCTAGTATAAATAACAATACCATTAAAACAGTATTTCTTGGGAAAAAGATTCATGCTTTAGCCAAATGAACAAATGAAATGACATTTGTAATAAAATTAGTGAGAAGATTATCCCTGATATTAGAATTTCATTCTTGGTTTCTTATTCCTGTCTGGGCCTAATCAATCACAGAAGAAATGACAATCTCCTTGCTTGTGGGATAGAGATTGGGCTTTTGATTTAATAATGAACTTTACATGGCGTATACTTTTGAATGATATCGTTTGTGCAATTTGCATGATGTTGGATGCTTGGTTATATCCTAAAAAGAGTCTTCTTAGTTGAACGTTTAAATACTAAACTAATTGACATTTGACACCTTTTACTTGTTCTCAGTCTAAAACATGTGGCTAGGACTCACTGCAGAGGTGGTTAGAATTGTAGTTGTCCACATACCAGTTGTTCATTATTCTATCTGTCTAATCACATATGATGAATCTGTCTTTCCATTGTTGATATTATTCTATTACTTGTTCTGTTGTGCATCACCTGCTCTCTCTCTCTCTCTCTCTCTCTCTCTCTCTCTGCATCTTAGCTGCTTCCAACCAGTTTCATTTAACTACCCATTTTGGGATAATGCTAACATGTTGATAGCTCTGATCAGTTAAGGATGTTTGATTTAACGGCATGTTTAATGATGTAAGTTGCTTCATGTGCATAGTGTTTACACTTATTCTTGCCCATGCTCCTTTTTGTTTTTCATGGAAGCTAAGTTCTGTGAGGAAGTTTGTAGTTTATACATTGATATAGTCTTGTGATCTACAAGATTACATCTTGTGATTTCATGAGTTGCAAGCAGTGTACAGACAATCCATGTTCCAACTTGTTTGCTTTTTGATGCCCAGGTCTGATGTGGCAGAGCAAAGTGGTGATATTTCACGATCTATAGCTGGCCCAATCATTAGGTACAGAATGATTTCTTCTTCTATACTTAATCATCAAATTTTGGTTCATGTAGTCCTCTTTTCATTGTTGAATCAAGTAAATTATACCTGATACAAATGTATGAGATGCCAATAATGTTTTCTTCTAGGGAGAATTATGGTCATTCTGAGCGTCAGATGGATAGACATCCAATGCCCCGGACACTTGCTGGTGCAATTGGCCCCACGGACTGGAATGAAGCTCTGCATGCTATTGTTAATGGTTCTCCTGAGCAGGTTTGCCTTTTGCCTAATGATGTTTGTAAGGGATTATAAAGAATATAATGGAAATTAACATTTATCATTGTCAGGTCTTGTATTTTAGGTTAATATTGTGTAGTGTGTTGTGACTTTACATTAAGAAACATGAATGCAAATTAGGACTATGGAAGACAGGGTATCCTCATGTTGACATCCTAAGCTAATATTTTCTCTCATTGATTCATAACATTTTTTAATATGAGCTCGTTGGCTGTATACCTGCATGAACCATGTTTTACACAAGTAGAACCAGTCCGTTTTGTTGCCGTTACTGATTTTTACATTAGGCATGATTCAGTTCCTTTGTCTGCTTCAAATGCCCTTTTCTTCTACATCTTGAGCTTTCTGTTCTTCTAGCTTATTTCCAAAAAGGAAGTTATATCGAGGACATGGGGAAGGCTGGGATGTTGAGACGGGTGATCTTCCTCCATCTTGCAATGTTGTGCTCTAAAACTTGTGTCCATGAATTTTTTGTCCAATAGTTAGCAGGATCACTATCACAACAACATTTGCTTTTAACTATGATGTTTTGATGCTGTCGGTAACTTTAGTCAGATTTGAATTATTTTGTTTTTTGGGACATACATACATCCAGACTGACATTTTTTATTGAAGTTTGGAGTTTTCTTAGAATTCTATGTTAAGAGATACTGTGTTGATGCAGTCTGTTGAAGGAATGAAGGTTGTGTGCCATGATCTAGCACAGGCAACCAGTGGTCCCAAAGGCAGTGCTATGGATGATATTGTCAAAGATGCAGATCATCTTGTTTCTTGCTTGGCAGATAAGGCCAGAACAGATCCAGTTTAACCTTTTTCTTTTGGAATGCTCCTTCAATCAGCTCATCGCTATCATATTTAAAATTATTGTAAACAGTTTTTTTTTTCTTTTTGCAGATTGCCAAGACTTTTGACTTTAGTCTGACTGGTGCCTCTTCATGATCTTGTCAATATGTCCTGAACACACTCGTGCAAGTAATTTACTATCCACTTCTTCTGTTTTTGTCGTTTTTCTCTTGTTGCTAATAATGAAAAGTAAAACCCAATTTTTAATAATTCTTATTTTTCTGTGTTTCTGTTTCAGACATTTCAAAATAAACAGGTAGCCCATGGTGTCAAGGAGAGTACCCTCGAAGTCTTATTACTGAACTCCTGGTTTGGCTTTTTGATGAAAGGGTTCCCAGGATGGATGATGGCAGCCAACTTCGGCAAGCTTTGAATGTTTTGATGCTGAAGATCCTGGTGACATTGATCTCCAAAATGCATCTTTTTTAATTGCTATCTGTGTGTGAATTACATTTTTGTATTGACTACTAATTTTTAATGCAGGATAATGCGAAACGAACCTTGTCGTTTGTTGTCCTGATCAAACTTTTACACCCACTGGACCCGTCAAGGTGACCATCTCCAGCATCAAATGAATCTGTTGCCTTTTGAAATCAGAAGTTCTCAGATTTTGATGTCAAATGCCTAATCAAACTTACTAAGGTGATCTTTCTTACTTGCCATCTACTTTACTTGTTTGCTTTCCAATGAAAATTTGGTGGGTTAAATGGTTAAATGTAGGAATGCTCTGGTAAGTGTGTGTTTCTCTAATCTATCAGGCACAAATATGTACTACTTAAACAGTGGACTTCCACTGCCATTGTTGGGGCTAGAGATGTTTAACTGCAATGGGAACAAAACTGTCTTTTGAATCATATATTGGGTAATCAACACTTGTCTGACCTTCTTTGTCAAGATGCTACTAATAAAATTGCAGAAAATAATTACATTTGTCTAGTTTGATCTATTCCTTTGTCAAAGACTTTATTTGAAAGAATTGTGCAATGCCATAGACTAGGGCGAGTTACAGACTCACAGATATCTCTTCTTCATTTGTAAAAAAACAATGTTGGAGTTATTTATACCAGCACACATGCTTTTTCACTGGTATTGTTTCATTAGAATATTTACACACTTTTGAGCCTGTTCTTGTGAATAGGTAAATACCGAACTCAGCTCCTGGCATGTGATTTATGTGCATCAAAGAGTTGCCTTGGCTTCTATTGTCGGATATTTATCAGACTTAGCTTTTCTCTGATTTAGGTTCTTCAAAGTACTATATATGAGGTTGACCTTGATCGTATCCTTCAAAGCATCCACTTATACCTGCAAGAACTAGGGATGGAAGAAATTAGGAGAAGGTACTATTGATTTTCTCTCTCTCTCTCTCTCTTTTTTTTTTATTGTGCGCTGAATTTTTTTTCCCATGTGTAATGGATTGGTTGATTGTTATTGTGATATGGATTGGTTGGATGATCCACTATTCACTATTTATGATTTACTAATAGAGCGGGAGATGATGACAAACCATTGCGTAGAGTGAAAACTGTTCTACATGAACTTGTTACACTTCGTGGGACTGCAATAAATGGTCATCTTTATATGGTTCCAATGGACATGGAACCCCAACCCATTATTCTTGCCTACATTGATCTTTATCTTCAGGTACCCAGAAAACATACTTAATGCAAGGGTTTAATGGGAGTCTTTTTTACACTTATTGTACTTATCTGTAAAATGTATAAAATTACCAACTTTGACTACTGCAAGAATGTTAACACCATCTAGACCTGTTGGCCAAACACATTGGGGTGATTCAGTAGCCAACAATCCATCACCTGCCACACATTCTACTAATGCCCAGTTGAAGATATCATTGTGCATTGTGTTGTTTGATCTCACATGTTTGTTTTAGCCATTAACAAATGCTATTCCAGTTCCTTCTTCTCCAGAGTGTCCGTTTTTTTCTCCTCCTTCTATTGTTATTTCGTAAATGATTGATTTCTTCCTTGTCTTTTACATTGCTTGAATAGGAGGTTTCTTTCTTATGTTTCCCTTTTCTACTTGATTAAATTCCCTGTACTGCATGCATCTTACAGCAAGAACTGGCTGCAATATTTAAGAAAATTGGTGACAAGCAAACATGCATCATTGGTCTTTATGAACTTTATCGGATCACCCAATTATATCCCAAGGTAAAGAGGTATTTCAGCATCATATGAAAGACGTTTGCAATTATTGTTTTTACATTTCAACTTTTTGGGAGAGCTATGTAAAATAACAGAGTTGTTTGTTCCTTTTTTATTGTTCAGTCATTCATTACGTTTAGGTTTTGCTATTTATTTCAGGTTGATATATTTTCTCAGTTGCAAAATGCTAGTGTGGCATTTCGAACATACATTAGAGACGGTTTAGCCAAGGTCTGCATTAATATGCTCAACAGTACAATTTTGCATTAATATGAATATTATATGCTTATGAGTTGCTGCCATTCACCTCTATTGCAGATGGAGAAGAATGCAGCTGCTGGAAGGACGTCTTCAAGTTTACCTTTGTCAACCCTCCCTCGGCTGCCCTAAACTTTTCTTCCCCAAAATTTATGCCTTTGTCACCTGTAAATACAAACCCATTGAATAATGCAAACTCTATGAACACTAAAGTTGAACCCACAAATTTTATGTTACCCACATCTTATGCTGAAGATGACAAGGTTGCTAATGCCATCACTTTAAGAGGTCCATTATCTGATCAGTTCGAACTACGACAGCATTTGGGGGAGCAAAGAAATGACAGATTCCAATCTGGAGGTTACTTCTACTCCCACCATTTGCCTTGATTTTGGTTTTTGTTTTGGTTTTTAATGAAAAATCTGTCTGA